TCTCCTGCCTGCCTGATCACCGCCTCTGCCTCAGTCCCCACCACCGTGGCTTTGCTCTGCCATGGACATGCCGTGGACATGCATGTGGGAGCAGGTGGGTGGGGCAGCGCTTTGTAATAACACACGGTGGGCCGGGCGGCCTGGGCTTCATCCTTCTACGCAGCTAGAGCCGCACTTGCTCTGTTTTTTCTTTTCACAACTTGCTACAAAACATACTCACAATCCAGCCTCCTCTCCTCTCGCACATGCTCATTTACCGTGTCCTGTGATATTCAAAGTGGCGGTAGGACAGCCGCTCACCCCATCGGGTGATAAGGTAGAGTTTGCCCTGTTTTGCAGGGTTTTGCCCGGCTTTGCTCTAATGCTTCGTTCCTGTGAACACCTGCTAGAGGTGGGTTTCATGCTAGAAACATCTGCATTGCCCATCGCTGCTGCTTGGACGAGGAAAGGCATTGGGGATGGTAGTTCTGTTTCCATCAGCGGGCTCCCCGGGCAGGGCCGTGGGGCTGACCACGGGCCATATGGGCTCTTCCGCTTACTCATTCAAAACACAGAGACTGATGCCGACGGCCCAGCATCGTGTGGCCCTGTCGGAGATGGACACAGAGCAGAATACATCACGTTTCTCTCTCATTTCTATTGATGTCAGAGAGGAAGGGAGAGGGAGAGAGAAAAACATCAGTGGTGAGAGAGGATCATGGATCGGCTGCCCCACACTGGGGATCGAGCCCGCATCTGGGGCAGGTGCCCTGACCGGGAATCGAACCCTGACCTCCTGGTTCATAGGTCGCGCTCAACCACTGCGCCACACGGCTGGGCGAATAAATCACTTTTCTAAAGGAGGAGACGGAATGCATATGCAGGCAGAACGTGAACTGTATTGGAGGCTGATGAGGACCATGGAGAGGGGCCAAGCCAGGAGAGGGAGCAGGTCACGTGATTTACAGCCATCTTCCTGGAGCGTGCGACCCCAATGGGGGACCCGGTCCCATGTCGCTGTCATCACAGCCATCGAGTCACCCGCATGGCACATACACATGTTGTGAACAGATAGACTTGGCGCCGACTGCACCCCCCTCAGCCTGCCTGCTGTCTCCTCCCTACACCCCTGGGTGCGGAGTGTGACTCACTCACTAGTCATGTGCATCATGGCTGCCTGACTCTGCGCTGAGGTCACTGCACAGGGTGAGAACCTCCCTCTGTTTTGTTCCCTGATGTGTCTCAGGCAGACAGTAGTCTTTAAAGAACTGCTGCCGGCTGGTGTGGCTCAGGGGTTGAGCATTGACCTAGGAACCAGGAGGTCACGGTTCGATTCCTGGTCAGGGCACATGCCCAGGTTGTGGGTTCGATCCCCAGTGGGGAGCGTGCAGGAGGCAGCCGATCCATGGTTCTCTCTCGTCATTGATGATTCCTCTCTCTCTCTCTCTCTCTCTCTCTCCCCCTTCCTCTCTGAAACCAATAAAAATATATTTAAAATATTTGTTGACTGAGTGGATTTTCAAGTTACTCACAATGAGGACACAGGTCATGAGTTTATGGTGGGCGGGTTTGGGTGCTGCTGCTGGCAAGTGGGGTTGTTTCTGCCACCAACACACAGGCGGATTGCTCCCAGCAAACCTGCTCCGGGCCCAGTAGCCCATGGGTGATGGCTGATGGCAGGCCCTGCTGCCAGGGATGCACCTAGGTGCCTGGTGTGGGGGCATCGGCTGGTTGCTTGTTCCACTGCCAGTGCTGCTGCGAGTCCTCTATTCTTGAGGTGTTAAAAGGGACCTGGCCAGCAAAGCTGGGACAGTCCCTCCATGTTGGGACAGAGAGGAGAGGGCGTGGAGCAGGTGGGTGGGGGCTGAGTGAGGAGAGGGAGTGGGAGCTGGTGGATGACAATGAGGAGAGGGTGTGGGAGCAGGTGGGTGGGGCTGAGTGGCAGGCCCACCAGGTGTTCTCACCGACCGCCTGCCTGCTTTTTATTGTGCTCCATTGTTGGTGCAAACCACAAGTCACACTGCTCACACGTGACTTTTCCGTGGCCTCCGTGCCGCAGGCAGGGGCCCTCACATGGAAACATCCATTTGTAAATTCCGTATTTTTTACCATGTTGTTAGTGAATCACACCTTCGATTGCCGACTGGTAGAGATTTTTTGAAGATGAATATTATCTCAGAGTTGAAGCAGGAAAGCCACACTGAACTTGCGAGTGCCATAAATAAACCATTTTAATAATGAAGATACATAAATAAGGTGTTTGTGACAGAAACAATAAAGGTGTCTCTCTAGCTCTGTACAAACACGGAATTTCCCAGTAATTTGTAAGAAATATATCCATCTTAGTACATTCAAAATGTTGGCTGAACAATGATGATTATCATTTTCCTGCATCATTTCCTTTTCATAGTCTCTGAATTCCCACCATGTTACAGTAATTTATAGTATCACAGTGCTTGGTAATCTTGAAAATATGCAATAACATTCTTCTAATGGTGTGGCAAAAATAAAATAAATAATTAGAAGTCATTTGCATAGCACTTTATGGAAACAAAATAATTAGTGTTTTTTCTGTAAACATACATGACGGGCCGTGCTGGACCGTCCTCCAGGAAGGAGCTGAGCACACAGTGACACCGGCTGCTCATATGTGCTTGGTGGCTGCCCCCTACACGTGCTGAGAGGCGCGGCTCCACCGGAGGAAGGCAGCTGGTTTTCCGGGAAAGGGAAGGGCTCAGGAAGGAGCCAATTCACAAACTCTAGTGCCCCGAGATAGACATACAAAAACTCACTCAGAAAATATATTTCTCACCCTGGCCGGTTTGGCTCAGTGGATAGAGCATTAGCCCAAGGACTGAAAGGTCCTGGGTTCGATTCCGGTCAAGGGCACGCATGTACCTTGGTTGTAGGCTTGCATGCAGAAGGCAACCAGTCGATATATCTCTCTCTCACATTGATGTTTCTCTCTCTGTCTCCCCCCCGTCCACCCTCTCTAAAAATCAATGGAAAAATATCCTGGGGTGAGGATTAACAACAGCAACAAATCTATTTCTTGAAGCCTGGGAGGTGGACCAGCCTTTGGCTGTCCTTCTCAAAGGCACTTTTAACCAGGTGCCTGGTCCCTCCATCAGGGGAGCGGGCGCTGCAGCAGGTCGGCATCCCGTTAGAATGGAAAGCACAGCAGGGGAGCTCATAAGGCCACGACTGCCTTTTAAGGAGCCGGGGAGGTGGACATCCCCGTGTCCCCTAAGGGTGTCTCCAGGAGCAGCACCTCAAGCACCCAGCAGAAGGACCCCAGGGGGTGTCCAGATGGCCCCCGTGGCCTGTGATGGGAAGAGTGAAACCACTTTTGCTTTCTGAATAGCAAACAGGTGACAGACTGAGGACCGTCACCCCCAAGGGGCACCTGGTCGGCTCTGGGGACCCGAGCCTGCCTCCTGCGGCCTCTTCTTCGTCTTCCTTCTCTTCTGCTTCCCCTCAGCCTTATTTTTGCGTGGCTTCTTCTTCTTCTTGCTTTCCTCTATGTACCAGGGCCCCCAGACGCCCCCGTTGAGCCGAGGGTTGCTCCTGGGGTCCCCGGGGGGATACCTGACGGGCACTGCTGTCCTGTTAAACTGTGACAGCCGGCGGAGCAGCTGCCTCACTACGCCGGGGTACCTGCCCGAGAGGTCCACCCTCTCGTAGGGGTCGGCCGTGATGTTGAAAAGCCACACGCTCTGGCCCGTCGCCAAGGTGACCCGCTCACTGTGCCAGCGGCTGGGGCCCAGGTTGCTGAAGGCCTGAGGGGGCACCCAGTCGCCGTACCCGGGGTTGCCCGTGAGCAGCTTCCAGTGCTGCACGCGGATGGCCGACTGGACGGCTGTGTTCCAGATGCCGTAGCCGGCCGCCCAGGAGCCGTGCTTGGCCTTGGTGTAGATGGGGTCGATGTTGTGCAAGATGTCCACACGGGGTGAGCGCAGGCCCTCGCTGATGGTCTCCCAGACGTCGTAGCCGTCCAGGTGAGCGTCCTCCTCGATGTGCCCCTCGGCCAGCGCCACCAGCGTGGGGTACCAGTCGGTGATGTGCACCAGCTCCCTGCACACTGTGCCCCGCTGCCTCAGGAGGGGGCTGTGCACAAACCCCACGGCCCGGATGCCCCCTTCCCAGTAGGTGCCCTTGCTGCCCCTGAGGGGCCAATTGCTGCCCCCGGCGGAGGGCTGGCCGCCGTTGTCGGAGGAGTAGATGAGGATGCTGTTGTTGTAGAGGCCGTGCGCCCGCAGGGCCAGGGTCACGTTGCCCACGGCCTCGTCCAGGCAGGAGAGCATGGCCGCATACCGGCGCCGGTGCGTGTTGGCGATGGACCGGTAGTGCCTGAAGTACCTGCTGGGCGCCTGCAGCGGCGAGTGGACGGCCTGGTAGGCAATGTAGAGAAACAGAGGCTTCCCGGGGTCGTGGGCCGCCAGGATCTGCTGCACCCTGCGCGTGTACATGTGCGTGGAGTACACGCCGTCGTCGTGGTCCCAGGCGGCACGGTCGTTCTCGTACAGGTCGTAGCCGCACGCCCCGGGGCCGTCGCACTTGTAGTGAGTGTAGTAGTCCCCGCTGCCCAGGAGGGACCCAAAGAAGGTGTCGAAGCCCCTGTGGGTGGGCATGCACTCGCGCCGGTAGAAGCCCAGGTGCCACTTGCCCACCATGTGCGTGGCGTAGCCCGCCTCCCTCAGCTTCTGCGGCAGCGTGGCGTGGCCCAGCGGCAGGCAGTTGGGCTGTGCGGGCCTGATGACCGAGTGCTGCAGGCCCGTGTGGATCTGATACCTGGGCGGAGAGCAGAGAGCTGTCAGTGTAGAGCAGAGATCCCACCAAACACAAAAAAACAGGACCAGCTCCCCATGCTTGTGGGGACCTGAGGTCCCACCCAGTGAGCTGCATGTTTACTGTTCGAAACGCATTTGGCTAAATTAGAGAGAGAGGGAGAGAGAGAGAAAGAGAGAGAGAGAGAGAGAGAGAGAGAGAGAGAGAGAGAGAGAAAGGGAGAGAGAGAGAGAGAGAGAGAAACACAAAACAATCGAACCGTGACCTCCCTAAGCTCAATGCCTGAGTCACACTGGCCGGGCCTAAATTAGTACTTTTGAAACGAAGATTTCACCACGCGTCTCAAAGTGTTTTTAACATTCTTGTAGCAGACTTTATTTGAATACTCTTTACTCTTTCAATGAATTATATGACATAGAAAATGAACACGATAAAGGAAAAGATCTAAATTTCAGAGTCTTATTATTATTATTACCATTATTGCTTTCCATCCAGGGACCTCACATTTGTTCCTAAATCATTTCCTGAAATAACTTATTTCAAGCTAATTCTGAAGCATGGAACACGTGAAAAAATTACACAGAAGTCTTCTATTCGACTGTCAGAAATGCTCTGTGATCAGCCCTCCAGCTGTGAGGTCTGCCAAGGGAACCAGGAGGTCTCTGACTCACGTTATTGTTGAAAAACCATTTTCTTTTACTATTTAAAGTTTCAACTGCTGTTGACATTGAATATTCCATGCGTTTCAGGGGCATCTTGTGGGAAGTGATGTTGGAGTAGGTGCCGTGGCCAGTGATCAGGAAGGGGTAAAACATGGGGAACAGCTAATTCACAAGCCCGAGTGCGGCGGTTTAATGTCCCCCAAACAGCAGGGGGCACGTCCCTTCCTGCTGCCCACAGCGCCTGCTTCCCTCACAGAGCAGGGAGGTGACTGGTGCTCACCCTTCATGCATTGGGGTTGAGGGACGCTGAGGGCCTGGCGTTGGTCATTCCGTGGAGATTCTGCCACGGGTTATCTCCCCCCAGAGAATGGTGGTTATCACAGAAGCGTACGAATTTTCAGCTTGGGTCAAGATGTGCCGAGGAGTTCACGACATTTTAAAAGCCACGGATTCTGCCCTGGCCGGGTGGCTCAGTGATTGGAGCATCCTCCCACGTCCAGAAGGTTGGAACCCCCGGTCAGGGTGACAGTGGGGAGGGGCCGGTGATGAGAACGGAGCCACAGCCGGCTCACAATCACCCCCCTCACCAGCTATAGGTGAGACGTCGTCTTACAGACCCTGGGAGCCTGGGGGTGAAACGAGGCTGTAAAAGATCTGATGCCTCGACGGGTCCATGACCCAGAAAAGAAGTGCCTTTGAGAACAGACCGCAGACAGGACAGGCTTTGGTGGCTGTGCCGGACCCTGACCCCCTCTGGGCGTTTCTCTCAGGACCCTGACCCCCTCCGGGCGTTTCTCTCAGGACCCTGACCCCCTCCGGGCGTTTCTCTCAGGACCCTGACCCCCTCCGGGCGTTTCTCTCAGGACCCTGACCCCCTCCGGGCGTTTCTCTCAGGACCCTGACCCCCTCCGGGCGTTTCTCTCAGGACCCTGACCCCCTCCGGGCGTTTCTCTCAGGACCCTGACCCCCTCCGGGCGTTTCTCTCAGGACCCTGACCCCCTCCGGGCGTTTCTCTCAGGACCCTGACCCCCTCCGGGCGTTTCTCTCAGGACCCTGACCCCCTCCGGGCGTTTCTCTCAGGACCCTGACCCCCTCCGGGCGTTTCTCTCAGGACCCTGACCCCCTCCGGGCGTTTCTCTCAGGACCCTGACCCCCTCCGGGCGTTTCTCTCAGGACCCTGACCCCCTCCGGGCGTTTCTCCTTCCAGGTGCCTGCCTGGCCCCCTGCTGCCGGCAGGACTGGGATAAACACTCGCGTGGGATGCAGCCCTATCTCTGCTGAACTGCCCTCCGGGCCCAGGCACAGGCTGAGTGTGTGTCACATCACAGATAGCCTCCTTGTTAGGGGCTCTGAGCTCCTGGAGGCCGATCCTCCCTCCCTTTTCCCTGTTACACTTGTAGCTGCACGTGGCTCTCTCCCGTGTGTGTGTGCTGAACTGGCCCAAGGAGTGACCGGCGGCCGGGCCCCTGTGTCCAGTCTCCTTCTTACAGCTGGGAACCCCGTCACCCCTTTTCATTCAGCTCCGGCTGTGACCCTGGCGAGGCGGTGCCGACAGCGGTCCCTAGAGGGCGGCAGAGGCTGGAAAACAGCGCGGAGCTGGCCTGGCCTGGGGAGCCTGTCCCTTAGGCTGGCCCGGAACCCACCGAGGAGGCTCATGTGAAACCGGGCAGAGCCCCGAGGCCTGCC